AATCCACACGAAGAAAGGGTTAATAATTATTATCTTTCAAAAAACAAATCTTGTTAGAGATATTCAATGTGATTTTTTTTCAGGAGAACCACTGACCAATAAATCTTTGTTGTAGTTGTTTAAGAATGTTTTGTGTACACACGTTCATATTTGTTGGACATATACATGAATAATTTACCTTATGTTATATTATTGTTTGAAATGCAATGTATAAGATCATACTTAAACTTCGTTTAATAAAGATTATTGGTTAATTAGCTGATTATATAATTACGTTTGGTACGTACGAACTATATTTTATACTATATTGTTGCTTGCAAGCATGAAATTAATAAGCTTATGGTCCCTTGATTTGCTCCTGAGGAATCTTTGATGATTAGTTGCGAACTTGCAATGCAAAGCAGTGGCCTGCTTGGCATTACAAATTTAATTTTTCTTTTTTTTTTTTTTGTATTTTTTTTGGATGTGAAACCAAAGTTAAATTATTATTATTATTATTATTATTTTTTACAACAAATTAAAATTTTCTTGTGGTAGTTTAATATGAATCTAATAGAGTGCTAGAAATTAAATATCAATAATTTTAGACTTGGTTCGGTAAACAACTCGTGTGTTAATTAAGATTAACCAAAAATAATTAAACGGAAAATAATTGGTGTTAATGTTGGACACAACTAGTTGTTTGAAGTAAACTAAATGAAAAAAAGACTATTGTAATTGTTGTAACTTTTGCAGCGTGTAACTCTAAATTATTTTAAAAGCTAATGTTCATAATTATGAAATCAAGAATTAATATGTTGTGTTTTATTCATCTAAATATTTGTCGTACGTAAACGCCCTAAATAGGTCATTAACTTTGAGTATGCACGAGTTCACTATTAAACGCATCCCTAATAGAATCGCTAATGTATGTAGGACATTTAGTGCCCTCTCAATGAAATATCAATGTATGTTAAATTTAAACTTGTAGTGTAGCTTAGGAGAGTTAATTTTTAATTTAGTATGTAGACTAAGTCTTTATACATACTACATATATAAAGTTAAAGAATGATTTATATATATGTATATATAACGACCAACATGCTCATACTTGGCAGGTATGACGGCTAGATGACTAGACTGATAATTTAGGTAAAACATAATATTAGTCGTATTTCAAGTATATATTTTGAATACAACAAAATAGGAGTATATATACTGATGAAATCATACCAAATTAAATAATTATATAACATGTATTGTACTAATTTTTATTTTAGACGGTGATATTACACTAATATCTACTCACGAAGTACTTATATTGATCACATAAAAACATAAAGAAACAAAAATAAAAGATATTAAAAAAAAACCCTTATATTATATAAAATGCATATGCTACAATAATGTCTAATGTCACATTAAGAATATCTAAAATTTCAAGCAATCCTAGTGAATAACTGCCTCCTTCGTCATATATATACATACATACTTATATTATTAGATAATAATTACACAAATTATTGTTTAATACACATCTAATTTTCTAATTAGTAGCGGATTATACGTCAATTTTTTTGATATTAGAATTTCATATGGCCTGCATCTTGTTAACTTGTAGGATGTCATACTACTTGTTTCTTTGTCTGCAGGAGCTTGGACAAAGTAGATGAGGAACCAAATACTTAGCTTCATCTTATGAATTTAGTTGATATGTAGCTAATTAGCAATTAGTTAAAAATGTTTGGGTCCAAAATCCAAATTATTGAGCTAGAAATGCATCAGTATTAGCTTAACCGTCCTTTTATTTATTTATCTATATGTTGTTTGGAAAGGCAAAGGAAAACCATAACATAACAGAAAGACAATAATACTAGAAGAGGAAAGAAAATGATTGAACTACGAAGTATTATTGATAGTGATGCAAAGTTATATTCCTTGATCAAATCAATAGTTGGTCAATACTATCTACATTTATAATGAAATATATAGATTATTAAACCATTTTTTGGAATAAAAATGTATAATTAGTGAAACAACAATTTGAAAGAGTATACAAGTATACAGAAATGTCACCCTAGGTCGCTAGGCCTCTATTGAGACCTGAATCATACCTGTCACTAAAAGAGAGTAAAAAAAAAAAAAAAAAAAAAAAAAAAAAAAGCCCCAAAATCATAAGAAGAGCAACCCCTTAACCTTAACTTTATAAAGTGTTTAATTTTCTATTTTTTTTTTAATTAACGTGATAATTAGCCACTCACATATGCTGTTTAGGAAGATATATATGATTTAACGCTCTTATTCACTTTTAATTTAATTTTTTTAACGTTTAATGGTAGTAGATTGCACAATCAGATTAAATTAATAAATCTCATAAACAATTGTCATGTGCAATTTGAGACAGAGTGAGTAATACCTTTCCGAGGATAATAATATTGTACTCTCTCTTGTGGTTTTTCCATGTAGGAATTTTCATTATATTAAAAATTTGCAACTAGAAAGTACTAATACTAATTCTTCGTTAGTTAGAACATTGGTTTCGATATAATTTAGAAAAGTTTTATTGGATTACATACTTTATTTTTTTGAGCAATAATTTAACGACAAAACTACAGGCAGAACTTTTCTTAAGCAACTAGCGTGTTATCCAAATGCCACATGGTAACGAAAGCACACACTATTTTTACACGGGATTTCATATTGCACTTGACTACTTTTTTATTTTAGCAACAGTTTTTAGACTCAATATTTCTGGATAATTAGCCAGTCAAAGTCAACTATATTTTTTAGCTATAATTGTATGGGCCATTACTTATCATTAGAAACTTCTTATTATATTTAGGAAAATTTAACATAAATAGACAAACTTTTTGAGCAGTTCTCCCGTATTGGACTAACCTTTAAATCTGTCCATATTAAACACATGTTCAACATTTTTCTCTCAAAATGAACCTAAATGACCCGTGACCTATACAACCGGTCATTTTTTTAATTAAAAACCTTTAATTATTTTTTCAAATTAAAAAAAAACAATTTAAAAAAAAAAAAAAACACTTTCCCCTCACCCCACTGCCAACCACCCCCTCCTCCACCTCTCCTCCCTTTCCAGCCACCACTCCCCCTCCCCCTTCATCTCCCATTTTTGACCATCTTTTCCCACTGCATTTTTCAACCACACCCCACTCCACATGAAACCCCTAAACCGAAAAAAAAAGTGAGAAATTGATGTAGAAAGAAAGAAGAATTGGAAGATTGAGAAATTAAGGGAAGATGGGATGATTTCGAAGGAAAGGTGCGGTGGTGGTTATGGGGTGGTGTGGGGTAGCTTTAAGGTGTGAACGCGAGTTGGTGGGGTGGAATTCGAATCTTGGTGGTGGTGGTGAGAGGATGGTTATGGCAGGTCTCGGGTATGGTTTTTTGGATAGTTTTGGTGGGTTGGTTGGTGGTTGGTATGGTGCTTTTCTGTCTTCGGTGGGTTGGTATGGTGGTTTCGATGTTTTTGGTGGGTTGATATGGTGGTTTGGTTGGTAGGTATGGTGATTTCGGTGGTTTTGGTTGTTGGTATGGTGGTTTCTGTGGTGGCTGTTGCTGGTGGTGTACATAGGTGGTGGTGCAGTGGGTGGAAGTTGTGGTGGTGAAGGTTAAGGTGTAGGTGGCGATAATTCCGGCGGTGAAGGTCGCCGACGTCGAGGGAATTGGTTGGTCGCTTGTAGGGGAGGGGGCTAGCTGTGGTAGGAAGTTTTTTTTTTTTTTTTTCTTTTTTTTAGAAAAAAAAAAAAAAAACTTCACCAACGATTTAATGACAAGTGGAATTTTACCTGGTATAATAGGTAAGGTAACTTGTTTGGTCCATTTTGGGAGAAAAATGTTAAACTTGTGTCTAATATGGGCAGATTAAAGGTTAGTCCAATATGGGAGAACCGCCCAAAGATTTGTCTATCAATGTTAAATTTTCCTTATATTTACTGGCTTTATTTTAGTTTGTTTTAGAGCTTATTCCTTAAGCTTTAATATTTTGGCTTCAATATACGCGTATAAATACTATATTTGTCTTATTTATTGAAGTATTTTTCTCAAATTCCCTAAAATCAGGAGAAAACAAAATATATTAATCAATAAAAATTGAATTGAATGAGACTAGGTCATTTGCAAATTTAAGCACAATTACTTCCACATATAAACAAGAATATATTAATTAATGTTAGTGACTAATATAATATATGTATGTAGATGAATGAAGCATTGAAGCTCAATAGCTGGCAATGGCAAAGCTAGCTATTTTTAAGTGGATTTGAATATCATATTATTGAAATGTTATGAACGTGTTGTATTAATTTTTGAAAAAGGGTTTAATTTTTAGTAAGTAGGTTTAATTAATTAATTAATCTGCCACGTATACAATTAAATAAAGGAAACCTCGTTTTGAATTATTGGTGGTGAGAATTCTTGCCTTTCACACACCTAGTTAGCAAGACTTCTCACAAACCACTTCATTTACATCATCACCTTAGCTATGAGAAAGTATCCATGTTGCTATGTACCATACAAATTTTTAAAATGAAAATACTTTATTTAATGACCCTTACATATAAAAGGTAGTTATAGATGGAGAAAATAGTAATTTTATTAAGTGGATTTGAATATCATATTATTGTAATGTTATGAATGTGTTGTATTAATTTTTGAAAAAGGGTTTAATTTTTAGTAAGTAGGTTTAATTAATTAACCTGCCACGCATATAATTAAATAAAGGAAACCTCGTTTTGAATTATTGGTGGTGAGAATTCTTGCCTTTCACACACCTAGTTAGCAAGACTTCTCAAACACCACTTCATTTACATCATCACCTTAGCTATGAGAAAGTATCCTTGTTGCTATGTACCATAAAAATTTTTAAAATGAAAATACTTTATTTAATAACCCTTACATATAAAATGTAATTATAGATGGATAAAATAGTAATTTTATATGTAGGAAAAGAGTTAACTTTAATATTTTATTGTATAAAAAGTCTATCAACATACAGAGTAACAAGTTAGGCAGCTAAGAAAACAAACTACAGTTAGTTTTTTGTTTAGAACAAAAAAGAGAAAGAACCTACATAATAGACTATTCACCCAATAATATTAGTGATATCTAGCTGATAGTCTCACTTGATCTTATTCTATTAACCAACCTTGTTACTAATAATTTAAATTTCCTTGTTGATTAATTAAACACTTAATCCAGCTTGATCAACAAGAAATTCAAGGGAGTGGGGGGAGAGGAAGAAGGCCAAAGTCAAACCTATAGACGCACAAAGTTTCTCCTTTCACAACTTGCTTGTCTATAAATATAAGCACAATTAGGTGCATTTTTTCAACAACCATATTCCATAACTACTCTAAAAACAAGCAATTCAATTACCCAAAACCATATCCCACATCAAAATTAGCATCAAATCAACACACATTCCAAGAAAAAAACAAAAACAAAACAAAATGAGTTCTAAAAAGATTATTACATGGGACACCATTTTACCTAGTTGCTTGAAACCAAAAAGATCACAATCAAAACCTAAACTCATAACAAGAACTAAATCTATTCCTCAAAGAGTAGTACCAAGTTCTCCACAAAGACTATCCATCTCAGACATTAGCAACCCGAATTCGGAGATCTCGATCAACGATCTTTCGAGCTCGTTGATCGGGTCAAATCTTCAAGTATTTACAGTTGATGAACTCAGGATCATCTCTAACAACTTCTCTTATACCAGCAACTTCATTGGAGAAGGCGGTTTCGGAGCGGTTTATAAAGGGTTTATTGATGATAAGCTTAGACCCGGGTTAAAAGCTCAAACTGTTGCTATTAAGGTCTTGGATTTGGAAGGTTCTCAAGGTCATAGAGAATGGCTGGTAATTAATTTTTTACCACCCAAAAATATCATGTTATATCACATTTATATTTACAATATTTTGCTAATACATAGTTTTAAAATTTATTTCCAGGCTGAAGTTATATTTCTTGGTCAGTTGAGGCATCCTCATTTGGTGAAATTGATTGGATATTGCTGTGAAAATGAACAAAGAGTTCTTGTTTATGAATATATGGCTAGAGGCAATTTGGACAACCAATTATTCAGAAGTAATTATCTAAATTTTTATTTTACATTTTTGTAAAATTTACACCATTAATTCACAAAATTCAAATTTTGTATATTCTTCTAACGTTTTGGTATGGATGCAGGGTGCTCTGTTGCCTTACCATGGTTAACAAGGATGAAAATCGCGCTCGGGGCTGCTAAAGGCCTTGCATTCCTACATGAAGCTAATAAGCCTGTGATTTTGAGGGATTTCAAGGCTGCAAATATACTCTTAGATTCTGTAAGCTCTCAACTTTCAACTTTGACTTGTGTATTCTGCTCTATTAAATTACTCGGACTCTTCATTTCATTTCAAGTACCTTATCAGATTCATAACTGACACAATCTTTAAACTTTTTGGTTCATTTTTCTTACTAGTTTTGTTTTTTATGGTATAGAATTTCAAAGCAAAGCTGTCAGATTTTGGGTATGCAAGAGATGGACCAGAAGGAGATAAAAGCCATGTAACTACTGAACACATTCTTGGCACCAAAGGCTATGTTGCACCAGAATATGTCATGACAGGTAATTAGTAATTTAATAAATTTGAATTTACAAATTTTAATTACAATTAACGTTGACGATTAGTACTAATATTATTAAGTCACATAATACGCGCACATTTTATGGTTTTTCGTAACAAGCAAGACATACCTATTCTAACCACTCAATAAATTGTCAATATTCTAACATATTCCATAATATTAAATTTTCAGGTCATTTGACAACGATGAGTGACGTATACAGTTTTGGGGTTGTTCTTCTAGAGTTATTGACCGGAAAAAGATGCATGGACAAGATTCGTCCTAGAAGAGAGCATTGCCTAGTGGAATGGGCTAGGCCACTCCTTAAGGATCCACGAAAACTCGATATAATCATGGACCCAAGGCTCGAGGGTCAATACTCGGTTCAAGGGGCGAAAATAACCACTATGTTAGCCTATCAATGCCTAAGCCACAACCCCAAATCGCGGCCTACTATGGGTTTAGTGGTTAAGACTTTGGAGCCACTATTGGAAATGAACGACATTCCGAGCCATTTCGTGTACGTTGTACCAAAAGATGGGGAAAAGAAAGAGTACGTAAACCAAGTTAAAGAAAGGAAAAATAGAGATGGAAATAGAGTGAGACACAACAATTTACATAGGAGGCTTGTTAATGATACGGATTCCCCTGGTTTCCATAGATGAAGAATACGTAGCACTTTCTATTCGAGCATAATATGTACATACATACAAACTACAAAGGTGTTAAATTTTTTTTTTTAAAAAAAGAAAAAAAAATAGTGTGGAGTTTAATTTTGACTAGCAGCTTAAAGAACATACTCTTTAAGAAAGATAAGTAATGTAAATAGTGAATACTGTATGGTTAAAAAACGGCTTAAGCTTATATTTCTTTAAAACTTTTATCAAAGAGAAATATGAAAAGTGATGTACAATTTTTATGATTTTATATCTAGATGCCTTATATATACATCATGTTATCATGTTGTGATTGCATAGATATTTACTTCGTACTCGATAACATATATAGATATACATCATGTTATAACATATATAGATACCGTGTATAGTAGACATTACTCTCTTATTAGTCTCTTGTAAGGATATGTCATACTCAAAACTTGAAAAGTGCTTGACAAGAATATCTATCAACAATAATTTTATGTAATGATGGAGTTTAGGTTAAATATGTTAATTGACAAGAATGACAACCAATTCCATTTATGTACAAGCAAATTAAAGAATTCATAGATATATAATGATATTGGACAGTTATGTGGATTACTGCTCCTAATTATGTGGATTACTGCTCCTAAATGAAAGCAATCATCACTAAAATTTTAGTGATGAGTGGTTATTATGATGTACTTCATTGGGAAAAAGTATGTCAGTTAATCTTTTTACATCAGTAAAATTATGCACTAATCAAGCTAAACATGCCACTTTCTTTACAGCATTAGTTATGGATTTGTATCATTACAACATTTACTTTTATATTTTGTTGCTTGCCATATGGTTCGTTAGTGCTAATGGCGTGATAAACATTTAGAGAGTGTAATTTACTTAGAGTACTACTATTGTATATCATCAATTATTAACCACACAATAGGAGTTCAATTGATTATTCAGTTACTTTCTCTGTTCTTTTTTACACGAGTATATATTTAGGCATATCCAAGGTGGGATTATACAAATATTTTTAATTTATAAAATATTGTGTTGTTTAGTGTTCACGAATTAGACTTAATGCACTTTGGAAATGAAGTTTTGATATTGAATACTCGCAGCATATTATTCTCTATGATTTTATAAGGTAAAAAGGAAAATGATTTAATTAACATCACAATTTTAAATTTTGGTTGTTTCTGGTTTCCACCTATTCCTAATACATGCTCATTTGGACTTTAATTTTTCTTTATAAATTTACTTAATTAATTATCGGGAAAAAATTATCATTTTCAAAGTATTTATATTTATATTTGTATTTTATTATTTATTATGATTAGAATAGAAAATACTAGAGGTCGAGATTCTATCTTGATTTTTAGACATTTCAAATCTTGATTATATCAGGAAGCTAAGGTTGGTGATTCAATCTTATAGATTCTTCGTCTCTATCAATCGAAAAATTTAGTCATACTTATCTCTTAATTAGTTTCTATTAGTCAATCCCCGATTCTTCAAGTAAGTGACCCTTTTTTTCGTCCACCATTAGTAACAAATTAAGCATACCTAGCCTTAAAGTTCATCTTAATTATAGAATTTCACCAAACTCACTTAATTAACCTATGCTACAAAACTAGATTGAATCTTATTTTCTTCCAAAATGTCATAATCATTAGTCAACACCTATAATCTTAGTCATATTTACAACCTTCAAATCAATTAGGTGCTCTAATTCACAGAATTATTTCATTCATAATCCACAATATCATCACCTAGACATAAATATACTTCTAGCTATCTATATATTTTCTCCAAATAGTACTATTAACATAGTAATTAAAGAATTTGTTAGACTTAATTCAGATGCATTGATTAGCAAACCGGCCAAATACAGTTAATTTATGAAATAATTAACGAAGAATTATATGATTAAAGAACGGGTACATTATCACGTACATGTCATGAGTAATAGGAATTTATGTACCAACTAACATATCCCTTAATTCTCTGACTTTTTGCCCATTTAATGGGGTTTATTCAAATGTGGGCATGCCTAATTCTTCGACAAACAAACATACATATATAATACATTGTCAGCTTTCTAGAAGGTTAGAATCTTACTCTCATCATATTTGCCAATCAAGTAACGGCATTTACATTGACGTGTAAAATAATTAGATACTACAATTTCTAATTATTGCACCGTTTCTCTTTTAAAGGTTAAACTTTATAAATATCTATCATGACATGCATCTTGTTAGTTTCATGTATATTCTCAAAATATTAACTTTTTAATTTTTGCACTTATTTACAAGATGAGATATTCACAGTCAAAAGAGTACATAGAACAATGTGAATCAAAAATAAATTGTGCAACTATCATTAGTGTTACTTCATCAACCTAATTAGATTAATGTTTGTTATATTGTAGTTGTAACTAATAGTTTAATTTATACTAATTACAAGTTACTCCGTACTACTTCGTATATAATAGTAGCCTAGAATTGTTATCAACAAAAAAATTGAAGATTATTATTGTGAAGATTTCAATGGATGACTTAATTATATGCTAGGGGCATGGCTCATGCACTTTTTCAACTTTGTGCAAGATATGTTATACAAGTACAATGTTGTTAATATCATGATGTCAATTGTTAAATGTACAATATAATCTTAGGATCCTTAGTAAGAATATACCAATCAATGAATAAATAATGTTCTGAATGTATACAGAATCACATAAAGGATAGACTTGTACGGAAAGACATGATATAGAAATATGTAACAATATTTAATGTCAAACAATACAACATAACCCTACTAATCATTTGTACAATATAACTAGTTCAACATGAATGTATATATGACATTTAGGTCACTAGATGGCCCTGGAAAGAGTGTAGTTTGGTAGAATTTTGTGAATCGAATAATAATTTTGATGTTGTAATGTAAATCGTCACTACATTCATCTTATTGTGATTACGCAATACGCATTGATATGATGTCCATGGCATAAAGAATAATGGGTTGAGGCCATTGATTATCCTTGAGATGAAAGGATCCTAACTCAGTATAGTTCCTTTTTCCAAGTTATATCTAAGTGTAAAAGATACATAATACTCCACATCTTATTATATGTATTAATGTGAAGATGTAACTCACGAACATTACTACTACATCTACTCAGTGGGTAAATCCATTAATACTACTTCGTAATATTTAAAAAATATATTTGGTAGTGTTGACTTGGACTCACTTTCATTAATACTACGTACTATTTTAAGGAGGACAATCCATTTTTGCGAAACTAATGTAAGCTTTGAGAGTATCAACAAGAAGAGTGATAGGCTGTTAACTATTTACTAGATATCTTTTATTAAATGTTAATTAGTGTCTAATTGTTCTGATTGGTCAATTGGTATTTGCTTGGTCAATGGAATACTGATGAAAGAACTCTCTATTACGGAGTATATATTTTATATCCTTCAACTTCTAAACTGTCATTGTGGCCTCGTTGTATAATCTGGTTTCTATATTGTCATATTGTGTTATAAGACTTAAAACCAGGGGCGAAAATTGATGGTTTTGAACTTTGAATGAAGCCTTTGATGAACATATAAAAAAGTACGTGTTAGCTAGCTAAGCTATGTTCTACTCATTTTATTTTCGCATACTATATTTAAGTAAAATAAGTTTACGATAAGTTAAAATAAGATAATTTAAAGGGTTGAAGATGAGATAAAATACTAAAGGGTTAGACCTCACCTTATTGTATTCATTTCAAGTCTAATAAGTCATGATAAGATAATATCAGGACTAATAATTAAATTTAGATCAGTTCATATAAGACAATGTAAGGGTTAAAATTATAAGTTCAGATTAGATAAAATAAGTAAAAATTAAGGTGACGACAATTCTATAAGATACAGGTTGATAACTTAATAGTATAAGATAATATATTTGCTAATAAGTTTAGATAAGACAAGTTCATCATTAAAAAAATAAAATAAGTGAAATTCAGGGGAAGTGAATACTCCCGTGCATTTACACATATGTATTGGGATGATACAGAGTATAGTAAAAAAGGAGAGTTTTTTTTTTTTTTTTTTTGGTAGGTAAGATGACGGGCCCTATCAGACCGGAACCCCTCACGGGTCAACCCGGCCCGAGTTAACGGGTTAGACAATTTGGGAGAGTGGGGGGAAGATAAGAAAATTCCACCCCCCAAGTTGTCACTAGTGGGGATTGAACCTCCAACCTCATGATTAGAAGGTTCTCTCCTTTTCACTAGACTAAGCTAAGTTTGGTTTTTTTTTTTAATAAGAAAAAAAAAAGTGATTTATGCATGATATGAGCTATTTCAGTATTTATATACTACTGTATAATTTTTCAATAAATTAATGCACATAAGTATTTTATTTAAAAAAAAAAAAAAAGTATTTTATTATATTAAAAGCGTTGTGAATGTTACAGTCAAGCACCTCATAAATAGATTAACAACTTGAGTTCTTAACAAAAACTTGGTTCACTAATTGAGCTACATGTAGGTGTGCGAGATGAAAAACAATTTAATCCAGCAAGGAGTTTCTATTTTGAGCATTAATTTGTTACATAATATACCTACTACTTATTTATATATATAACCACTAAAACCTACATTAATTGGAAAATAAAACAGAATATTTACCTTGATAAATTTGTACCAATTTTCCTGTCTCCAATTAAATTCTCTTTTAATCCTTATATACATTTATAAAATAAAAATAAAAAGTAAACACATTCTCTCTTTACATTTTTACCATGGATATTAAAATTGAAGCTCAAGATAATCAACCTCTTTTGGAAAATGAATTAGAGGCAACAAAACAACCAAAAACCCCAAAGCCAAAAGGCCATTAGAAAAACTTTGAAAAGCACATCCCACTTATCTAGCCTCCTCCCCTCAGGCTCAGTTCTCATATTTGAAATGTTTTCTCCTATTTTAACAAATCAAGGCTGTTGTGAAACGTTCCAAGCCCAATTTACAACATTATGCCTCATAGTGTTTGTTGGTTTATCATGTATTATAATGTGTTTCACTGACAGTGTAAGGGATGAACGTGGCAAAGTTCGATATGGTATTGCAACACTTAAAGGCATATGGATAGTTGATGGTTCTGTAACTCTTAGCCCTGAACAAGCAGCGAAGTTTCGAATTCGGTTCTGGATTTTCTTCATGCATTCATGGGGATATTGGTGTTCATGGCCGTTGCTTTGTTGGATCAAAATGTTGTCAAATGTTTGTTTCCATTGCCATCTCACGAAACCAAAGAGAAACTTGTTATGTTCCCTATTGCAGTTGGAATTATTTGTGCTTTGTTGTTTCTTTGTTTCCCTAGCAAACGTCATACCATTGTCTCTCCTCTTTCTAAGCGCTAAATATTAAGTAATTACTTCTTTTCTTTTTCGTTTTTATTTCTTTTTTTTGATGTTTTTGGGTTTATTTATCATTATGTCTCATATTCACAAAAAGTAAGTAAGAATGGCTTATGTATACTTTTTCCGATATTTTTCTATGCTTCTTTTATACTTCGTATATAACAAATACATGTATAGTTAAAACTTTAAAATAGAGTTTTTCGTTCTCTTTGATTTACATGTTGATGTAAAAAAGAAAACAAACAAATGATACCCTATTGCGAGGTTTAGAGTACCTTAAGGCTTTGCTAAGGAAGCAGTAATCTATTAACAAAAATGTCAGAATTTCTTCAGTATTAATGATTACCAAAATATGTATGAACAAGTTCATAGCTTTTAGTAGAGCTTAACGTTAATTAAGCATCAACTCAATTTTTTTAGAAAAAAAAAAAAAAACAAAAAAATTTAGTTCAAACAAATAAATTCCAAAGAAAAAGTAACGATGGGAAATCAACTATTTTAGTTGTCTAATCATAGCTTATTCTTTGTTTACAAAAAAAAAAAAAAAAAAAAAAAAAAAAAAAAGTTTATTGAATGAATTGCTTGTGTTGTCCATCTCTTATACATAGACCACTCAATTTCTTAGCTAATCCCTTGAGATAAGAAAGATTATAGCATAGTGATTGACATGTGGATGGTCGGTTAATTCTTTTTTTTTCCCCAAAAAAGATATGTGGATGGTTATTAGATTAGTATGATTTGGTTACTATATGTAGTTGTTTGAAAATTTCATCATACATTTGGGTGTATCATGAGCATGGTACGCCCGGTCAAAATACAAGAGTTACAAAAACGCGAAAAGAACGTTGTGTACAAATACAAAGTCTCTACATGAGTAAAAAAAAACAAAATCAAAACGATTCTTTCCTTGAGTTAAGGGATTGATTTGTTATTTGTATTCCTTGATTTATGGAACTGATTTATTATTTATCTTTTACCTTTTATAAACACCGGATCTCATAAAATATTGTATTCTTTATATTTCAATGATATATTCTCGTATAATTTCATGATGTTATTTATAATTATATACTATGTTCTTTCCGCTTTAATCCAGGTGTGCCATGCGCATGGTACACCTGGGTGTACGAACCACCAATTGGTAGTTGTTCTCTTTGATAATTTAATTTCGTTTGTTTTTCACTTGCAACATTTTGATTCCTGCACTATTAAGATTTTGATGATATATATAGTTAAGGAAAATATAGTCATGTGGGTGAGATCTTATTAGATTCACGAAGTGTCTTCAGTGAGTCCACCCACCCAAAAACTAGTATATTTATGTTCCGTAAACTTGTATGATCGAAGCTTTAAAAAAAATTATATAAGAAAATACTTATATATATATATATATATATATATATATATATTACAAAAGTGGAGTTTTTAAAAATTTAGTTATTATGGTAAAATTGACATGCAATTATCTAAGTTAAACACATATATGATTTCAGGATTTAATTGCTGGAGGTACAGAGAGCTCAACGGTAACAATAGAGTGGGCAATTTCAGAACTTGTAAGAAGGCCAGAAGTATTGGCCAAAGCAACAGAAGAGCTTGATCGCGTAGTTGGAAGAGAGAGATGGGTTGAAGAGAAAGACATACCAAACTTACCCTACATTCGCAATATAGTAAAAGAAACAATGAGATTGCACCCGGTTGCACCTATGCTCGTACCACGAATGTCAAGGGAACAAGTTCAAATTGACGGCTATGATATTCCCGTAGGCTCTGTAGTACTCGTGAATACTTTCACTATACATAGAGACCCTAAAGTGTATGAAAGTCCAGAGGAGTTTTGTCCCGAAAGGTTTATTGGAAAGAACATAGAAGTTAAAGGTCACGATTTCGAGTTATTGCCTTTTGGGTCAGGCCGAAGGATGTGTCCAGGGTATAGTCTTGGCCTTAAAATCATTGAATCAAGTGTGGCTAATATTCTTCATGGATTTACATGGAAATTACCGGACAGCATAAAACCCGAAGATTTGGACATGGATGAGATTTTCGGTCTCTCAAACCCTAAGAAACTTCCTCTCGTTGCTTGTGCTGAGCCTCGACTTCCTCTTCATATGTATTAATATTGAGGTCGTATACCTATGATTAAGGTGTGCTTATTATTGTCTTAATTAAACCTAAGCGTTTTCCTTTCCTTAATGTAAGTTATGCTACGTATAATACAAGTCGTAACAATTGGCAATAAAGATTATAAGCTCAATTTCTTAGCCAATTATGAATTATTTACAGGAATGTGAATTAGATATTTCTTAAACGTTGATTTTTGAGTGCATTAATCAGTTGTCAATGGTGCTGTAATTTAAGAGTTCAGTTGCAATAAAAATCTCATAATTGGTTGAAACTTGGAAGTCCATTTAATGCAATATGCCGTTGGGCTTATGCTGTTTATAACCCAATCGAAAGTTGTGGGCTTCTCGGCCTGAGCCCGTTAATAAAGGCCATATGTGTTTTGAAATAGTTTAGCTCATTACATCTTTTTACCAGAAATAAAGTGATTTCAAATACCCAAAATAAGTAGTTCTCCACTAAATTGGAAGATTAAGCGTATTTCTTAATCTCCAATTGTAACTTCATGCTTGAGTTAATTACTATAATTAATGCTATCGATTATTCTTCTTGATTACCCATCGTTATTTTTTCTTTGGAATTTATTTGTTTGAACTAATTTTTTTTGTTTTTTTTTCTAAAAAAATTGAGTTGATGCTTAATTAACGTTAAGCTCTACTAAAAGTTATGAACTTGTTCATACATATTTTGGTAATCATAAATACTGAAGAAATTCTTACATTTTTGTTAATAGATTACTGGTTCTTTTGCAAAGCCTTAAGGTACTCTAAACCTCGCAATAGGGTATCATTTGCTTGTTTCCTATTTTACATCAACATATAAATCAAAGAGATCGAAAAATTGAGTTGATGCTTAATTAACGTTAAGCTCTACTAAAAGTTATGAACTTGTTCAGAAAAAATAAATTCAGATCAGATCAGATCAGAAAAAATAAGTTCAGATCAGATCAGAAAAGTTCAGATCAAATACAAATTATTATTATTATTATGATTATTATTATTACTATAAAAATTATTATTATTATTATTATTATTATAAAATTAACAAAAACTTACAAAGTCAAACATTTTACAAGAAATTAGTGGGTAGCCGAGACACAATCTGGGCCCCCACTCCTCTAGCTATGGCGAATCTGATCCTGCTGAAGATGTGAGCAGCGGCACGAGCACCAATATCCTAAGTCCTAGCGAAAGCCTGAACCCGCTTCAACAACGCAACAACATCCTTCTCTAATTCCCCCAATGAAGAAAAGGAGAAAGGAAGAAAACCATAGCCAATAGCCCTGCAACGCGCCCCATACTTGTCTCGCTTCCGCTGAGCCGCAGCCGACACAACACGACCAGGAACGAAGTCAGACAACCCAGATTGAGTCAATGGAGAAGACCCCGTCAAGTCAACACATACATCTAGGCCTCTATCCCAGGAGTAAAGCAACACATCTGCTGGCCGAAGAGCCCCGTCGTTCCCTCCAGTCAACCCAACGTTGACCTCCTTCCTTGCAGAAATCCCAGAGCGGAAACAAATATCAACAAGGGTATCACGAACAACGTTGTGCCGATGTTTAATACCCACCATCCCAGCACAAGACACTGCATGATCCCCATAAATATCCCCATCAAAAACCCTTGAGCAAGCAGAACAAGGTGCCGATCGGAGAACAAGGGAACACCCAACCGGTAGCAAAGAACACAACGGTAAGTCTTACCATTCATAGTCTGACCCAGACCTGATATCGGGACCGCACGCAACCAGGCAGAAGTGTGATCCCCCTGCTGGGACTTCCATAAGGCAACCTGACGCGGAGATAAGGAGAAAGCGGATTCTGCAGAAGCAGTGACCTTCGTGAAATATATATCTGCCAATTTCTTCATGAGTTTGGGGGCAGCGATCTCACTAGGGTTACGCAAAAGGTCAGTCTCCACAGTCCTATTAAAAAGACTTAGAGCGTCATCGAAGGCCGGACCCGGACCAAAAATACCAGAATTACGAAGAAGCGAAGCCTGAAGACCAGAAGACTGCAAACGCGACGCAAGGAAAGCATAGTGTCGAACATCACCCGCTGAATAGACACCTAATCCCCTATAAGAAAAAGGTAATGTGGCAAGCCGCCATTGCCAATCATCAAAACCTGGCCCCGAAGCAGTTACAATACGTTCCACAGAACCTCGAAGGGCTACATCAAAAGAAATTTGGGCCGCTTCAAAAAGACGAGGAGGACAAGTGCGCATAGAAAAGTAGAGTTTTGAAACTCCAGTACACGCACGAAGTAGTAACAACTCACATTGGGGATCCTCAAGCTTAGCAACAGCATCCATGAGCACAATGGTCTTTGACACTTGCTGCGAAACAAGCTCACCACAGAAAGAGGCATCCGCACTGACAGGAACCCCAAGCAGCTTAACACCATATCTGGAGGAAAGACACCGGCCAGACGGCTACGAGGGTCCTCTGTGGGCCAGAAAACTTCCGTTTTCTCAACGTTAACATGGAGGCCGAGACGAGGTCCCTCCACCAAAATCAACTCCAAAACCTTCCCTACCACCAAGGTGTCACCAATAATAGTGCCATCATCCAAATACCAAGCCTGCAAACATAAGTCGAAAGAATCCCTAATTCGACAAACCAACGGATGGAGCACCAAAGCAAAAAGCAAAGGGCTAAGAGGATCACCCTACTGCACACCTTGACATGACATAAAGGTATGCTCCCCATAATAGAGCCTGGCTGGAGTAGAGTAACAAAACTCAACCCAACGCGAAAGAGCTGGACAACGGAGACGAACCTCACGCAGTAAAGCCGTACGATCAACCAAATTAAAGGCATTCCGGAAATCCACTAGCAACATAGAGAGGCCAACATCACCACCCCGAGCCTCAACCAAACGATTAACAACATGAAGAGTAGCCTCGCCACCTGCCGACACCCCAACACCGAGCTGAAGACCTCCTAAATAGTTCCCCATACGCGGACCAAGTAAAGCATCCCCAACCTTTGAAACCAGACGCCGCCAAACAGTACCCATATAGGACGAATACCACCACCGGGCTTAACAAGGGGCGTGAGAGGAGCACTAGAAATATACTCCCCCAACTCAGCCGGACATTTTCCTGCGATAAAGAGATTAACCACCTGCGTAATAGAGCCCACCAACTCATCTGAAATAGCAACCGCAGCACCACTCAAGCAATCAAGAAGGTGTTGAGCACGCAAGCCGTCTCTTCCGCATGACGTACCACGCGGAAAACCCTTAATCTGATCCAAAACAACAGCAGATGAAGTAATGAGGGGCTGATCAACGGGGATATCCGGTAAGATAGGAGCCGGAAAAGAAGGGTGATTAGCTTGTAAATCAACAAGAGTAGCATCATTGTAAGGGGCAAGACCAGAAGACGAAAGAACCCTAATTGCAGCAGTGTAATGTCCGTCACAAATCTTTCTCTTACACTGCATAATATTTCGATCAGACAAATCATGCTCATCATCAGCTTCCAACAAAGGAGGAGACACATCTGCCAACGTATCCCGCACAAGAAGCATAGAACCACCAGGCTCACACCAAGAACGAATAGCAGCGGAGATACTCTCTTCCTGCCGCTGTCGCCGGACACCCGAAGAACACTCACGACTACTCCTCGGGGTAAAGGTTTTAAGAACACAAAGAGGTAACACAAGCAGTTGAACCCGACAAGAGACGTCATCAGGCTTGCAAATCACCTTATCAAGCGCTCCTTTGAGAACCCGAGAAAAACCCAAGCGACACTTAGGAGGAATAGATTTCACCGAACGGAACCGCTTTGATAGCAAACACTCCAGGAGAGGAACATCGAACGCCAAAGGAGACTGACGAGGTGCACTTGGAACAAGATCGGATACCTCCGAAGAAAGACTGAGTGGTTTAGGAAAACCATAAAGAACGAACCGAACAACGTCGTCCCCCAAATCAGGAGGGTCCACAAAATCATCCGGACCACGACCATGTCGACACTTCGAATGAAAAGTATGAGTCTTGAAACACTCCCCACAAAGCCAAATGTCCATACGCCGGAAAGTTGACTCCCCCTCTAAGAAAATAGCCAAATCAGAAGAAAGAGAGTGTCTAGTCATATCTCGCGCATCCCCACAACAATGACGATCACGAAGATGAGTGAGCAAATAAGATTTAGAGAGACCATTACCCCCACCATCCAGACACCCATTTAAACCCACAAACGGACAATGAAATTGAACCACAGGAGGCATAACACCCACCACAACACCCACGAGAAGAACACAAAACAACGCACCAAAAACTACACCAAAATAGCACACCAACTACACACTAAAACCACACCCAAGAAGCGCCAAAAACTGCACCTTATGAACACACCAAAACTTCACACGAAACTGCACCACGAAATGCTCCGAAAGCAGACCCTAACTGCTCCGAAAAGGCACACGAAATAGCTCCGAAACTGCACCACGAACAACACCACAAACTGCACCAAAAGCACCCAAACGGACCACCAAATTGCACCCAAACCCGAGCAGGAAACAGCCTGTGAACAACCCAAAAACAAAGCCTGCATGCCCTGAAATAACGCCGAAAGATCGAATAAGAAACCTCCCAGAACCTGAACCACGCACGAGACTGCAAACAGCCGGAAAAGGCACCTGAAAAGGCCGTCGAACCTGCCTGGAAAATGCCAAGAAACAGCCAAGAAAACGAGTAGAAAATCGAACGAAATTCGGCCTGAAGTTGCCTGATGAAAGCCGCAGAGAAACGAAAGAAAACCAAAAGAATTACGGCCAAAAACTGCACCAATTGAAGCGTGGAAACCGCCGGAAAATATCCTGACCTGACTGCCGCCGGAAACCCTCCCTGACCTGACCCTAAATGACGGAAAAGGCGCCGGAAAACCGCCCTAAACCCAGCCCTACACCCAGCCCTAAACGCCCTAACGAGAGGATTTTTAACGAGAGGATTATTATTATTATTATTATTATTATTAGGAAATTT